AAAATCTAGGAGTTGCCCATTTCTAGCGCCTAGATAAAAGAAGGCATTATCTCTACAACTTAAGGAACCAATGCTCAAGAAAGCTCCATACAACTTTCAATTTTATCTCTTTTTCAGAAAACCATAAATCTATTTTTTAAAAAAAATTCTGGTTGCACCACCTACAAGTTGATCACCCATTTTTTTAATGTTCTCAAAACTATGCTTCCATCATTATTCAAAGAAATCAATATTGATGAATTTCATTTTTTTATATTTGTGAACAAGTAAAACAAAAATGTACCAATTTTTCAATGAATGACATGGGAATCCTTATCTTTTTTTTATTTCATTCATATTGACTTTTGTGGACCATCCACTACACTTAGATCTTTATGCTCGATGATTTTTATCTTTTACCAAAAATTATAATCAAGAAGATCTTTCTATTAAAAGCAAAACCGTTATAAGTATCATTTTTCTCATCTTTTACAAGATAATCAAAAATCAATTTGGCATTGGAATAAAAAAATTAGATCAAAGAAATCCCAAAGCTATTTTAATCACTCTCTCTCTCTCTCTCTATTCTCATACTTTAAGAAGAGTACAATTTATGAGTCCTCTTGTATGTATAAGCATCAATAACATTGAGTAACTTAACAAAAGAAAAACCATATACTTCCTACAAGAACTCTCCTTCAAAAGAGTGTTTTAAAAAATAATTATAGGAAACTATTTCAACGATTGTCAGCTCATAAATTGGTTAGTCTTGGGTTCAAAAGTCATATGCTAATCCTAACCAATTTCTTTCATCACTTCAAATAATCCTTTTCGCAATATATTTGATGGGTACATCCAGTCATGGAAAGTTTATCGTCGCCGAGGCCGGAGATCAGCGGCCGTGATTGAGTCGTTGTATATGTAGTTTGTTTTATTTGATCTTTTGGATTTGTGTTCTTTTATTTCCTATTTTACACTCATGTGAGGGGATGTTATGTTTGGTGACCAAGGGTATTTGGTCTTGTTGTTTTTTCTTCTTTTTGGGCTTATATATAGTAGCCCTCATCCTTTGTAATTTGGTTAATGAATGCTGAAAAACGTTTTTACCTTTGGAGCTTAGTTTTTCTTCTTTCTAAGTAGCTTGGTAAAGATTAGTTTAGTGGTGTGAGTGTCAAGTACCCAACAACCCGTTGGCTCTTGGTTTTATCCTTGTTCTCAAGTCTCTCCATCTCCCTCCCAGCTCCTAACCGAACCCTTCCCTTACTCTCAGCCGACGTTCTCAAACTCCTGCAGCAAATTTCTGCTTGGAAACATACTGTCCGAAGCCTTCTGACCCCACCAACAGCCCTCCGTTGACCCTCCCTCCTAGTGCTAGTAACCAATCACCCATACTCCACTTTGGTGACCCTTCCTCTTCCAAAAACCACTGAAATTTTCCCTCCCAACAACCAACAAAATCCTGTCTTTACATCTTCCTCATTAGAAGTTGGAAAGTCACTTTGTGTCTCTTCGTATTCTCCAGAACTTTTTCCCAAAAGTTAAAGTGTTGTCTTTTAACTTTCTCAAAGCCCCTCTTCATTTCCCTATTAAACACAAGCATCATCGTATTCTCCAAAACTTTTTCTCAAAAGTTAAAGTGCTGTCTTTTAACTTTCCCAAAGCCCCTCTTCATTTCCCTATTAAATAAAAGCCACATAACCTTCAACTCCCCCAAACCTACTGCCTACTTTTCCCAACAGTCACTAAACCACGTTTCCCACTATATGCCCTTCCCAAAATTGCCAAAACTAATCCTCACTCCTTTTCCAGTCATTAGAAAACTCCACACTCCTCCATTAAACCTTCCACCATCCCTTTAGCCTCCACTAACACTCCAAACAGCATTCTCCCTTCCCAAAAAAATTAAATCAGTAAACGTTGTCCTCCAAAGTCACCATAGAGGATTCTTTTCAAAGATTCAGCAAAAGTCGCTGTCAACCAAGGGAGTTATTGGCCTCTTCGTCAACACTTTGTTCAACGTCCAAGCAAGATAAGTGTCTTACATCTTCTCTTATTCACTCTTTAGCATAGATATCTTATTCTCCCCTCCAAAGTAGCATCAAACAAGTGTAGCAACTAATATGCTTAGTCTACTTTCTTAATCAAGAGCTGCGGACTTCATTTGCAACTACTCCTAAATTAAAAGTGGGACTAGCTACCCATGTTCTCAGAGTTTTAATTACTTTACTCCCTTTAAATTGTGAATGTCGCTACTAGTCAAGTTTCTTGTTTTTTGTGTAGTTGCATTGCCTAAATTTCTTGTCTTGATAAATTTCCTTGGAGTTTAAATTTGTTGTTTTTATTTATTCCCTAGCATAAATCTCTACATGCATGATCAATTTACTTTGTCCTACATCAATATTTGATAATGTTGCTTTTCTTTTCACACACATTCCCAATGTAGAGTAAAAATTTGATCCGTGAACAATTCAATGCATCTTCATTTGTTATTTTCCCACACAAAAAAGATACAAAAGCAACCACCCACCAAAAGAAAGGCATATGCATTCATTGATGTCAGTGTCAATAAAGAACACTACTTTATTACTATTTACACCTAAGAAGTAATATCATTCACAAATGATTAAAATAAAGAATTTGTTTCCTTATCATTTATCCAAATAAACAACTGCTCCCACCTAAACAAAGCTCATACATGAATCATTTACTACTGAGACACTAAAACTCAACTCAAGAAGAACTGTATTAATCCCTCAATCTACACAATTCAAATTATCACTAAACACTGACGTTGCCAGGTTCCAAGTCCTGGATGAGAAAAGTGGAGGGTTGCGTTAGGTAGTCGACAGCCAGCGTAAAACGAGAATTTGACTTTTAATAGAACACAATGGAGAAAAAGGATTCATGTAGCCGACCCCACGTAGTGGGATAAAGGCTTGATGTTGTTGTTGTTGTTGTTGTGTTTCAAACATCATTTGTGCAACATCGCATCATTCACTCACTAAATTTACTAAGAGAACTACTGAAACGGCAATAAAAAAAAGTCTTACTAATAAAGGTACAAGAACGCCATTTGAATACCATCTACATTTGTTTTTATCGTACAAATTTTTTTCTCATAATAACCAAATCCGTACTAGCCTGCATAATACTTCCATCCCTAAGATGGTCTATAAGGCTAAAATAATGAGAATGGGAATAAATTTATAGAGGAAATAAAAACACTTCAAAAAAATAAAATATGGGAATTGATAAGTAACCATAAGGAAAGAAACAAGTTGGATGTGGATAATCCTTTACTGTAACGTACAAATAAGATGTTTCACTAGAGAGGTATAAAGTTAGATTGGTTGCCAAAGGCTGCAATCAAATATATAAAATTGATTACATAGAAAGTAGAAACATTTATTTTTTTTTGCTAAAATGAATATTGCTCGAGACTTTTTATCATTAGCAAATAATATGGTGGAAAATATGGCAATTCGATGTTAAAAGTACCTTCTTACATAGTGATCTAGAGGAGAAAGCATTTATAAAAGTACTACCAAGATTTGGTTCAAATACAAAATAAAAATGCATGTAAGCTAAAAAAATTATCGTATTTGATAAAGCAATATTTAAGGCATGATTCAAAAGGCTTGCTAAAGAAATGCTTAACGTGGTATACAAATTAAATCAAGGAGGCCATACATTATTTATAAAGCATAAGACTTCACGGAGAACCTCAGCATTATTATTTTATGTCGGCAATATTAAAATGATAGATAGTGACGTGCAAAGAATGGAGAACTTACATGAAAGATTTTTCAAAGACTTTAGGTAAGTTAAAGTATTTCCATAGTATTCAGGTTGCACACTCTCGACATGGAATCTTTATAGTGAAACAAATAAATAATAAAATTATTCAAAAAAAACAAGTAAATTGGGATGCAAGCCTATCGAGGAATTCAATCATATGCATGGAGATACTCCAGAAACACAGCAATAGAAAAAAATCACCTATCAAAGACTTCTGGATACTTATCATATCATAGATTAGACATTGCCTATGTTCTTGGGTTATGAGTACATTCATGCACATTCCTAAAGAATCCCATTCAAATATTATGCAATTTATAGAATAATACAATGCTTGAAGGGAACCCCGAATAAAGGAATTCTATTAAAAAAGGGTAGGGTTCACTCTTGAAGCATGCACAGATGCTTATTATGCAGGTTTTATTGTTGATATGAGGTAAACTACAGGATATTTCATATCCTTAGGAGGGAACCCATGACTTGGAGAAGTAAAAAAATAAACTTTAGAAGCAAGATCTAGCATAGAAGTCGAATAGAGATATATGGCACAGGTAATCTACAAATTGCTATGGCTTAAAAATTATCCTAGAAGAATTAAACAATGAATGGGTAGGTTCTCTAAGGTTCTATTGTGATAACAAGTCAGTCATTAATATTGAACAAATTCATGGGTAACATGATAATATTAAACATATTGAAGCTAATAGACATTTTATATAGAAAGAATAGGTGATCCAATACATACTCAGTTCGCAAGCACAAGTGAATTTCACAAAAAATTAAACAGGAGCAACCTTTACAAAATTATCAAGATAAGCTTGAAACAACATCAATTCATTCGCTTCCGAGGAAGTGTGAAAATACTCCTTGAATCTGACCTTCGTAACCTGCAGCACCCTCTCTGCCTCCATCTCTACCTTGCCACCTCATGTGTTCATAGGATTTGCTCCCACCTCATTAATTCATGTGAGTTGCCCGGTTATATAAGAAAATATCTATGGGTTGTTTTATTGTGATTTATTTTGCAATTATTTTTCAATTATTGATTTTGAATATTTTCATAAGAAGTTTTCCTGTAATTACATAAATTCGGCAGAAATGATGGAATGCAAAACATTCAATCGTTCTCCAGCTGTTCATGTGTCAAGTGGTAAAGATGAACAAACGCCTAGTTCCCAAAGTGAAATAAAAATGGTGCAAACATTTAATTTTTTCACACTTACACTTGGCTGGGAGTCTGGAAAAGAGACATTTGCCGCCACTTTCCTGTGAAAGTTCACAGTAAGAGAATGAAAACAAAGAAAACAATTAAACCTGTATGATAAAACAACTTACTGGCATATCTCGCATTTGTTTGAGCCTCTAGTGCGAAACCATTTCATAATGCAAGATTTGTGTGTTTTTGACAGCTCGCCTCGGCATCCGCATCCGAGATCGATCAGAAGTTCTTCTGTTTGTTGTTGACAAACTCTGCTTGTGTTTCCAGATCAACAAAAAACAAAGTTAGCATCCATTAAGTTAACATTATAAGAAAAGGAATTGATCACCCTTTAGTCTTATAGAAGAAGTGCCAACTATTAAAAGATGGTTTCTGCTTTTTTTTTATTGTGTGTGAAGGGAAAGCTTCCTGACCTTGTCAAAGTTACTAGACAACTTAACAGTTGACCTATTTACAACATAAAACTTTTCACGGGACAAAATAAGAACAGTGTTAAATTCAAAAAATTGTAAAAGGAAAAGCTTAATTATTACACAAAACTATCCTTATTTATAGATCTATACAAGATGTATTAATAAATAAACAAATAACTACAGAATTATGCATAATTGCCTTAATATAATCCTTACTAAATCAGCCACTCAAATATGGAAAAAGATCAGTATGATCCTGGTAAGCCTCCCATGAATTCCCATCCTGGCCGTGGGATCAACTGTTAAGGGACGGCAAGGATTTAACAGAGATTGGCATGATCCTGGTGAACCTCCCACGGATTCCCATCCTCACCATGAGATCAAGTGTTAAAGGACAGTTGGGATTTAACAGAGATTAACGTGATCCAGATGATCCTCCCACGGATTCCCATCCTGCCGTGAGATCAAGTATCAAGGGACGGCTGGGATTTTAACACTCCCCCTCAAGCTAGGGAATACAGATATGTCATTCCCAACTTGGTAATTAGTCACAAAAAAGTAGAGTTATCAAGTCCCTTGGTGCACCATAGAGCCCTCCCTTTGGTCAAAACTTTGTGAGAAATTAACTTCAAACATAGCGGTGGCAAAGGATAGCAATGAAGGAAATATTAAGCAAGGAAGGAATGAAGATTGCATTGGTTATAGATAAGATAGCAACCACAAGAGAAAGCCGGCAATGAAGGCACGACAATAAGAAAAAAATTATTTATAGGGTTGTCGCAAGCTTCAAGGACAGCAGCAGAAAAACAAGTCTCAAGCGGCTCAACACTTGCCACGCAAATCTCCTCCTATCACATCGAACCAGCCTTCAGCCTAATGCAAATTAGTCGTCCAACTCCACCCAAACACTCATGTTCCATCAATCCCGTACATGCACACAAGGCCTCTGATCTTTTTAGTCTGATTTGAAGAAGGAGTGCAATTCTCACACTCTTGCTTGTCCCAGCCGTAGATCCGCACGAGAGGGAACCATTAGCTCTTTCCAGACATACGCAAGAGGATCCCTCCTGCTAGATCTCTCCTCAGTCTTGAACGCACGAAGGAGGCAAAAGGACCAATATTCCTAAGAATTCCAACAATGAAGGTCGGTGGTGGGAACATGTATTCCTCAGAATTTCAGCAATGAAGGCCAGTGGTGAGAACTTGTATTACTAAGAATTCTAGCAATGAAAACTAGTTGTGGCAACATGTATTCCTTAGAATTTCGATAATGAAGGCCAGTGGTGGGAACTTGTATTTCTCATAATTCCAGTAATAAAGGATGCTGTTGGGAACATGTATTCCTCAAAATTCAGGTAATGAAAGCCGATGGTGAGATAGCATGAAAGCCGATTAATTATCCTTCCAAATCCACAAAATTGAGAGCAAGCACATGCTCAAGAGGCTCCCAAGTCTGTTCAACCCGGCTAGATCGCATGCACAACAACTATTCAACTACTCGTTCCTTGCTCGGTTCGGCTCCAGCACAAGCATAAGAGCCGGTCATCCCGCCTAGGCACATACGCACACAGATCTCTCTCTCTCGGCTACTAGGTAGGCACATACGCACACAGATCTCTCTCTCTCGGCTACTAGGTAGGCACACACAAGAGGTGTCTTGTGTGCCTTCTCTAGCCGCATGTAAAAGACCGAAAGGGGATGCCTTCTCACTTGCTCGGTTGCTCTAGATATAAGCGAATATGAAGCAGAACACAAGAACCGACTCATCCTTGATCACACACAATGGTGAGCGCAATCCTGCTCAATCAACTCCTAGACAAGCGCAGAATCTTTTGGCCACACGACTCTCTCGTCGTGTTTGGTAGCACGCATGCGAGAGGGGTTTACAAGACGTTCGTCCCTCTTGATCGAATGTAGAGACCGCAGGGTTCTCGCTCGACTATACCAAACAAGATGCACTAGACGTTTGTCTCTCTTTATCAAATGAAGATACCGAGAGATGAAACACTCCCCCCCTCTCGGTTGGACGTACGCAAGAACAAACAAGCTGGAATATGATCCCTTTCATTTCTGAAGGGAAGGCTGGGCCTTCCCTTCAGAATGTCGGGCAATAAAAAAACTCATAATTCCGGCCAAGGCAATGACAGCTCTGATACCATGTTTAATTCAAAAACTTGGAGAGGGAAAAGCTTAATTTTATTATACAAAATTATCCCTATTTATAGATATATACAAGATGTCTTAATAAATAAACAAATAACAATAGAATTACGCATAATTGCCATAATATAATCCTTCCTAAATCAGCCACTCAAATATGAAAGGAGATCGGCGTGATCCTGGTGAGCCTCCAACGGATTCTCATCCAGGTCGTGGGATCAAGTGTTAAGGGATAGCTGGGATTTAACAAAGATCGGCGTGATCTTGGTGAGCCTCCAACAAATTCTCATCATATCCGTGGAATCAAGTGTTAAGGGACAGCTTGGATTTAATAGAGATCGGCATGATCCAAATGAGCTCCCACGGATTCCCATCATGGCTGTGGGATCAAGTGTCAAGGGATGGCTAGGATTTTAATAAACAATAATGGTGATGCCATTGTTTAGCAATTAATAAAAGTATAAAACTAAGAGCAAGTCTTACAATCAACAAGTTGCACAACTAAGATAAAATTAAAAAGAATTTACTCAAAAAAAAATCTATAAAAGAAAATTAGTGTAAGTAATGTTTCTGAATAAGCCATCAACTTTTCATCTACTTAATTATTAACAAAGGCTTAATTATTGATAACCGTCACAACGAAACACATATAATTATCATCCTATCATCGTTAGCCTAATCCAAAATACTTGGGATCAACTTAGTTTATGGGATTTTAGTCTTTACATTTTATGAATGTATATCAACCTAAATCAACCCTCAATCTTTCTCATTTCAAATTTGAATGATTATTGGTGGATTTTAACATAATTATAGTACAAAATTTGAGACACAAGTACTGCTAACATCCCTCTTACACTTGATATATAACAACAACAACATCAAGCATTTATCCCACTGTGGGTTCAACTACATGAACCCTTTTTCTCCGTTGTGTCCTATGACAAGTTAAATTCTCATTTTAATCTAATAAAGAAAGGTCATTTCTAATATTTTCTAACAAAGTCTTTTTAGGTCTACCTCTACCTTTCATAACATAAGTCAAATCTAATACATCTACTTTCCTAACCGGGTCATCAGAATGTCACACTTTTATGTGACCAAACCATCTAAGAAAACTCTCTAATCTTACCTTCCATTGGAGCTACTCCAACGTTTTCACGTATATGCCCATTTCGTATCATGTCTCTAAGAGTAAAGCCACTCATCCAGCTAAGCATCCTCATCCCTGCAACACTTAACATAATATTATGCTTTTCTTTTAATGACCAACATTATGCACCATAAAGCATTGTAGGTCTAACCACCAAGTAATAGAATTTCCCCTTACGTTTGAGAGGGACTTTCTATCAGACAACAAGCCCAACGCATTCCTTCACTTCAACCATCCAACTTGAATTCTACTAACAATATCCCTATCTATTTCACCATCACTCTGAACAATAAACCTAAAGATATCTAAAACGTGTACTCTTATTAATGACTTACTTAAAATATAACAAACAAATAAAAATATCCCAAAGAAATATAATCATGGTAAACTGAATCTAACATTTATGGTAATGGTTAGAAAAAAGTATGAATTAAAACATAAACAAAAATTAAAATATAAAAGGAATCAACTTAATTTTAGAAATGATGAATAAACATAATAACGGTTGGCCTTTGCTTCAAATAATGCACACTATTCAAAGTCGTTCAAGCGGGTGAATCATCGAGTATGTAAAAAGCCTCTTTGCAATATCAAAATGATAAGAATTTGTTACAAGTGTCCTGTAAATCATTTAACCCCTTGGTCATGTCTCCTTCACCATTTATCGAAATTAACAATTTTAATTTATTGGATTCGTATCTCGATCATCTACAACCTCTACGATCACCACTTCAATAAATTTTGATCCCATGAGGTAGGGACGAAGCTAGAAAGTTTAATTAGTGGGGGCACAAATTAATTATTTTTAAAATACACTCATTCTTTCTGGTGAATTTTTTCCTTTAAATTTAAAATTTCATGGTGAAATAATATCTTAATTAGGAGTATCAGCCAGCCAAACTAGCTCGTGAGCCGGCTCAAACTCAATTCGGTAATGAGCTCGATAGCTTGTATATTAAACGAGCTCGAGTTCAAACTTGATGAGAGTAGAGTCAACTCGCCAGCTCGTCAGCTCCCCAACTCGCAAACTAAGCTCATCTAATATTATATTAAAAATTTTTAAAACTTGTATTATTTAAAGAATTATGTTGCTTCCAATGCAACCAAAAAATACAAAATAATAATTGCATTTAATGCAAATTGTTGCTCCCAACAGAGTTATTTTGGAAAAGCTACAAGTTGATTGTTATTCGGAAAAAAAGCATTAAATATATTTTTAAAAAAAACTATCAATCTCTTCTCCCAATAAAAAAACAAATTCTTTCATCTTCTTCCCCAACGAGTGGCTCGTCAATGGATCCCGAGTTAAGCTCTCGATCTCTTTCTCCAGCGAACCAAGCCAGCGAGCAGACGTTCCAACTTCTCCTATGAGGTAAGCTCACAAGTCAAGCTCGAACCAAATGCAACTCAGGCGAGCTGAGTGGGCTTTTACTGGGTTAGTGCGGGCCTGTGCCCCGGGCCCTCACTGTAGATCCTCCCGTGCCATGAGATTTGGATCTCATAAATTCAGTACTCACACAACTCT